GTAGGAGATGAAGTTAAAATATTTAGGAAGCGAAAACCGAATGAAAAAGAAAGAGTGAGCAACTGGTCACAGAATATTTATACCATAGAAAATATTGAAAATATGTTAGGGCAAAATTATTACAGAGTTGAGGGCAATAATAGGCAGTATTTGCGATTTGAGTTGTTGAAGGTTTGAAGGCCACTAACGCAGCCCACACTGAACCCGAAAAGCTTCACATCCAGCGTTGTTGAGCTTGCTGTTTGTGTGTGTGTGTGTGCGCGGGCTTTTCTTGCTCGTTTCTCGGTCAGTGGCCCTGAGCGTCTCAACTTTCTCCCCCTGTTTTCTGCGGAAGCTAAGCCTCAACGGCCCAACACAAGCCCATAAATAACACTCCCAAAAGCCAGTCAGACTGATCCAGAAGTTGTTGCGGGAACACCTGTAAAAGCTCGATCGCGGCTGCTGAACAAATTCCACTCGGAATGCAGGTAAATTTCACAACTTCTGCTCCAAGATTTCCACTCAGAATACTTGTAAATGCAAGCCCTCATCACTATCACTGTTCCTACTGTACGATGAATTTTATATGCCACACTAATTCCCTCCAAGAACGCAAGAACGCGTTTTCCATGCTGGCCCCTCTCCGGAAGCTTCTGGTCATGGAGGCACATGATGCAACGCTCCTGTGAAAATATCCCCTAACTTACTGCAGTGTCGCAGGAAGTTCACGAAGTTCTCCTCGAGGGTCGGATTGGGGATGCCGCCTCCATGCTTGTGGGTCTGCTCCCCCGCCATCTTGGCTTTCTGGTAAAGAGATCTCATCGAAGGTGGCGTGGACATGCGGAAGGTCTTCTCATGCAAGTCGCCCCAAGTGAGCCGATGCCGTCTGTTCCCAATGTACACTTTAACATCTGGATCTTTGGGAATCTGACGTGGCGGCGTCCGGTCCTGTATATATTGCACTGCTTCTCCATGAAACCTTTGGCTGACATGAACAACAAGCTCTACCCCATTCGCATCTGTTGGCTGACCGGAGGGCATGATAGATAGTTTCCCTTCTTGATACATGAGCTCAATGTGCTTGAGTAGAGGGAGCCCATTGCAAGGGTCACACACCTCCAATCCAAAGGCCGCAGCAGCTCCCGGTTGAGACTCTGGCACAATGTGTTCTGCTACAGCAGGAAAGGGAGAACCCCAACCTTTGCTCTGACACCATTCGTGCGCTTGAATCATTGTGTCAGCATACATATGAGAAAGCACACTGCACACCAACTCGCCGTCGGGAAGCTGGAAGTGTTTGCTCACGTCCGACCCCCAGCGGGACCTTTTTCTGGTTCGATCTGCATCCGCACTGATGGGGCGCACGGCTGACATCTGAAGCACCATATTGCCCACCTGACGCGCCATGTTGCCTACCTCGTTTGTCGTCTGAGTGTTCTTCTCCACTGTCACTGGCACCTGCAAAACACCCAATTCAAGCAAGCAACCCGAAGCCCTAATCCCTAACCCCCTAACAGACCAACCAGAAGACACCTGAAAACCAGCTCCCAACACACCGCAAGTCGGAACGTAGCAAGGCCCCAAACATCTTGCGTGAATAGCTGAAAGGGGCCTAGCTAGAGGGTTCAGCGTAGGGGAGAACCCACAAACCCTGAGTCGTGAATTTGCTGTTTAAATCCCTCAGTGCCTCGGACTGCTCTGACTGCGCAGTCAAGATCGCCTGAATCCGGCTGTGCGCATTCTGCATTGTAGTGGTGAGGAATTGAATAAAACCTTCATCCCGTACATCCGCTTCATATGCCCTCCTCAACTCTTCACGTGTCTTCTCATAGTCCGATTGTGCCTCGGTCAACTCATCTGATAAACGCTGACCATCCAACTTCGCCCGTTTCGCGGCACGTTCTGCCGGCAGCGCCATGTTCGGCAAATGGGAACTGGAGTAAGCGTTAGTTGTTGCGTGTTTTGTCTGCAACATTGGCTGTCAAGCTCTCGATGAAAGGTTGCTCGAAGATCTGTTTAAGCATGAAACAGGCATTGTGGCACGTTACATGCATCAGCCTAAACTACACGAAGGAATGGTTTCTGAGACAGGGGCACCTAACATCCAACCTTATTCTCATTATGGATATTTTATTAGAGATGACCATTTCCATTTTCAAGGGTTAGGGATTTCGGGTTAGGGATATGGTTTTTCTATGGGGGTATTG